GATGGCAGAATGAGGAGTAATGGTCTCAAATTGCAGTGCGGGAGGTCTAGATTATTAGGAAAAATTATTTCACTAGGAGGCTGGTGAAGCACTGGAATGGGTTATCTAGGGAGGGGGTAAAATCTCCATCCCTAGAGGTTTTTAAATCCCAGATTGACAAAGGCCTCTCTGTAATGGTTTAGTTAGGGTTGGTCCTGCTTTGGGCAGGGGGTTGGACTCAACCTCCTGAAGTCTCTTCCAGCCCTTATGATTCTATGATTCTAGGCAAAGGATACAAAAAGAAGAAATTCTTGAATTGCCTATGCACCTATGTTACAAGCCTAAGTAACAAACAAGAGAAATTGCAATTGCTCATTTATTAGCATATATTTTATTTAGTTGGTATTATTGAAACCTAGTGGGATGACTCATACAATTAGAATGTAAAAATCAGTGGTTATAACTTATTTAGGAAGGATCAAGTGGAGAAAAAGGAGAGAAAGTGTGTCACTGTTAAAAATATCACTATCTGTTTTCAAGTGGCTGATAACTTAGAACAAAAACAATCTTGAATGCTTATGGATCTATATCCTATTGATAAATCACAAGATAGGATATTAGTTGATGTCTGCCACCAACCACAAAAACATTATGAAACAGGACGACTGCCTGTTTACACACCCTTCTGTAATGAGTAGGAAAAGATTTTCATGTTCATAGGGGAATTCCGGTTGAGTGACACATGCTAGAGGTGTCATGCTACCAATACCAATCCTTGTTATTTCTAAAGTTAACTGATGGAAATTTCCTAACTGAAAACTGTTGCAGCCAACATGGTGAACTTCTTTATGAAATCTTGCTATATAAAAAAGAACTGATCGCTGGGCTAAGAATTCATGGTAGCTTAGGTACAAGTGATCATGACTTAATAAAATTTGAAATATACAAGCAGAATAAAGTCCAGACCAGTAACAGAAAATATTTGGTGCTCTAATAGAGTTGAGGTGAAAATAAAGCTAAAAACAATTAGCCAGATCAGGTGGAAGAAAAATGTAATCAGAAAAATGAGAATGATATTCGGGAATCATTTAAGAATACATTAATAGGTGCTTCCCCTCCCCCCTAAAAAAAAACACAATAAAAAAATCAGACCATACTGGCTAAAAAACTGACCAGGTTTTAAGGGGAAGTAAAGGAAGCTGTAGATTATTTAACAAATGAAAGAAAGGGGATGTGGATAGTAATAAGTATAAATCATAAATTTGCATTTATCCAAAATTAGTAAGAGGAGCAAAGGGACACACATAGTAATGGCTAGCAAAGTAAAGGACAATAAGAAAGAGTTCTTAAAATATATTCAGAAAAAGAATCTGACAATGGTATTGGTTCATCAGTAGATGGAAATGGAAAATTTAGCAATAATGATGCAGAAAAGGCAGAAGCATCCAATAAATACTTTTGTTCTGTATTGGGGGAAAAACAGATGCTGTCTCATCATATGGTGACAACTCTTTACATTCCACTAGTGTCTCAGGGGAATGTAAAATAGTAGATACTAAATTCAGACATAGTTAAATCAGAAGGCAGTAGAATCCAAGAATTTTAAAAGAGCTTTCTGAGGAGCTTCCCATTACTGTTGATTTTCAATAAGTGATGGTGCACTGGGAAAATTCCTGTAGACTGGAAGAAAACTAATGTTGTGCCAATTTTTAAAAAGAACAGTTGGGATGACTCATCTAACTATGGACCTATCAGCCTGAGATTGATTCAAGGCAAGATAATCGAACAACTAATATGGGATTCAATGAATAAAACATTAGAAGAGGTTAATGTAATTAATGCAAACCAACATGGGTTTTTGGAAAATAGATGCTGTCAAATTAGCGTGATATCTTTTTTATGAGATTATAAATTTGATTGGCTAAAGATAATTGTATTAATATAATATATTTAGACTTCTACAAGATGTTTGGGTATCACACAATATTCTGGATAAAAATTAGAACAATATAAAATTAACAAGGCACACACTAAATCGATTAACAACTGGCTTACTGATAGGTCTTAAAATGTAATTGTATATGGAGAAACATCATCAAGTGGGTATGTTTCCAGAGTGGTCCCACTGATGTTGACTATTTGGCCATGAAGTATTTAACATTATTATCAATGAGTTGAAAGAAAACATAAATAATTTCTGACAAAGTTTGCAGCTGGCACAAAAATTGGGAGAGTGAGAGAAAAATGAAGTAGGAATGCTAGCACATTCTTCTTCTTTTTTTTTTTAATTTCTTTGTGTTAGTCATGGAAGCCATTTATCTGTTTTCCAGTCCTTCCCAGAGTACAAGGGATAGTACAATACATATATTTGAATATAAAAACTGTTTTGAATGTTTGTTATGCAGTAGGTTAGCAAATGAGAATGTGAGAGACAAGAAATGGCAGCAACACACAGAAACTTCAGGAGTAAGTTGGCTAGGTGCAGGGTGGAGGGAACTACTTCAGAACTTACCATTGAACAACATGTTATACTGGGCTAAGAACCTTATCCTGTTATCCATATTAAGCCTTGTTGTGTATCTTTGCCCATGGGGGAGAAGGCGTGATAAATCCTTCGTCCCATCTGCGCTGGTCTAGTCTCAATGGCAAGGCCTAATCTGGCAAATTGCAGGAAGTTGAAGACACTCAGCACTTCCCAGGACTGAGCTCTGAGATAATACCTTAGATATAATTAAACAATTGGAATGTAGTGTTTTTGTGTGTCTCACCTCCACTTGCCTATTATTCAATAGACGGTTTTGTGTTGAGTTTTTACTCTGAATAGTTCTGTGTTCAGAATATCTGACTGGCAAAGTGAAGCATCATTAAGGATCTGGTAACATCCACTTGAGTTCTGAACTGAGGTAAAATAACTGAAGTACAGGCTGGACCTCCCAGGTCTGGCAGTCCCAATTGAGAGGATTTGCCAGACCAGGGGAGGCCCCTCCCAACGTGGCCCAGGCTGAACTCTTGTTCATTGCTAGGGCTCCAGCCCAGCACCACTACTCCCTGCCCAGCCATGGCTCCCCAGGCTGGAGCTCCCTAGCTACTGGTGCCGGACCCTGAGTCCTGCGGCCGAGGCCAGAACTCAACAGCTGCTGCCAGACCCCTGCTACCTCCCAGTCACAGGGGGCAGAACTCTCCACTGTGCTGCCCATCCCTCCACATCCGCCCTCCCACATGGGGCACCCAGCTAAATTGCTGCACCCCCCCACAAGCACTGCACTCCTGCCCCATGGCCCAACCTCCTTATGGGCTCTGTGGTCCAGGAACATTCCTGGGCCTGCTGGATCATGAATGTTGCCAGACCAGAGAGTCCTGGTTAAGAGAGGTACAAGCTGTATAGGTAAATTTTGTGTCATTGAGTACATGGCCTTTGGAGATATTTGTGTGCTAGAATGTGCATTATCATAGGATTTAAATTCATTCAAGAAATGTTCTGTAGTTTTCCAGGCCTTATTAACAAACTTCATATAAATTCTGTGATGAGTCTGTTAAAGCATAGTGCATTGTTGAGAGCAAGTTGGCACTTTGAATAACATGGAGAAGAATGTAATTACTATTACTCTGATGTGAGATAAGAGGTCAGATCTGAAAAAAAAGTTTTTCTTTTTCCTGTTGAAAACCTAATGGTTACTTTTATCCTCTTCCCTGGCCCCCTCCCCTTTCAAACATTGGCAAGTCGAAGAGCTGAATTATAATTAGAAGGAAAAGAGACTGCAGACTTTATGTTTGTCTGCACATACCATCTACAGTTTAGTCTTTTTATTGCTGAGGGAAGGTGGAGAAAATTTTGCTAAAAGAATGTCACCTTCTCCCACATCAGGAAGTCTCTATGCCACAGTTGATAGACAAGTCTGATTAAGGGTCATTGGGATTTCTCTTCTAGACAGGCTTTAAATATCACTATTGAGGCAAAATGCAGGACAATGTAGCACTTTAAAGACTAACAAGATGGTTTATTAGATGATGAGCTTTCGTGGGCCAGACCCACTTCCTCAGATCAAATAGTGGAAGAAAGTAGTCACAACCATATATACCAAAGGATACAATTAAAAAAAATGAACAAATATGAAAAGGACAAATCACATTGCAGAACAGAAGGAGGAGGCGGGGGGGTGGGAAGGGGGAGGAAGGAAGGTAAGTGTCTGTGAATTGATGATATTAGAGGTAGGGAGAGTGGGATGTTTGTGAGTTAATGGTATTACAGGTGATAATTGGGGAAACTGTCTTGATAATGGGTGAGAAAGTTCAAAGACTTGTTAAGTCCCTGGTGGTAAGTGTCGAATTTTAACATGAATGACAGTTCAGAGGATTCCCTTTCAAGTGCAGATGTAAAAGGTCTTTGTAGCAGAATGCAGGTGGCTAAGTCATTTAGAGAGTGTCCTTTCTGGTTAAAGTGGCAAGAAACTGTTTTCTCTTTGTGATCTTGTCTGATATCTGTTTTGTGGGCATTAATCCTTTGGCGAAGTGTCTGAGATGTTTGTCCAATGTACATAGCAGACGGACACTTTCGGCACATGATAGCATAGATTATATTTCTGGATGCGCAGGAATATGTGTTCTTGATCTTATAACTCACTTGGTTAGGTCCAATAATGGTATCAGCAGAATGAATATGTGGACAAAGCTGGCAACGGGGTTTGTTGCAAGGGAAGGTACCAGGGTTGGTATTAGTGTGGTATGTCCTGTGGTGGTTGGTAAGAATCATCTTGAGGTTAGGTGGTTGTCTATAGGAGACTATGGGTCTGTCTCCCAGAGCCTCTTTGAGTATGGTATCCTGTTCCAATATAGGCTGTAGTTTATTGATAATGTGTTGGACAGGTTTAAGTTGGGGGTTGTAGGTGATGACAAGTGGTGTTCTATTGTTGGTTTTCTTGGGTCTGTCTTGAAGTAGATGGTTTCTAGGTATTCGTCTGGCTCTTTCAATTTGCTTTTTTATTTCTCCGGGTGGGTAGTTGAGGTTTATAAATGCTTGGGGCAGGTTTTGAAGTTCTCAGCATTGAGTAAACTGTTAAACTTGTAAGTCTTGTAAATGTTGAGGATTTTAGATGATAAGCCTTCTTTTTCACTTATTTCAACAAGAACCAAACAATCTTTAGGAGAAGCTACAAGGTACATAGAGATATCCTCCCTATCTGTTGGTTGGACTGTCTAGTCAATTGTGTATTTTTGCTTCTTGTACAATATTGAATGTCCTCAATTCACATTGATTTTAATGAGAGGTGAGGTTGTTCATCACTGGATTGAACCCATTAGCAGAGCAGCATGGGAAAGTTTGTACTGACATTACTTACAATTAGTCTTGGAAGGATTAGATTTTTATCGGTAAAGGTAAATGTCAGCAAATGTCAATTTCACCACACACACAATGATGAAAAAATATTTCCATTGATGATAATAGAAATTTACATATAGGCAAACAATGCGAAGAGTTACTGACGATATCTGTCATTTCTTTTGTTCTCTCATAGCGTTCGCAGTTTTCCCTTCCCTCTGTGCCTCATAGTTAATTATGTCACAGCAACCCTGTACTGTGTATGAGGAGGCAGACAAGGAAACAGCACAAGCTGCTGCAGGGCAGAAAGATCAGTTGCTATGTATGTATAAGGCTAGTTCACCCACTGGGTAGCTCTTGGGCCGACGGTTGCCAGGTATCTGGTTTTGAACCGGACATTCCCATATTTGAGCTTACTATTCGGGAAAAGAATTGAGAAAATATAAATGAGAAAATATAAATGTCTGGTATTTTCTAAGTAAGATGTAATATAGATTGTGATGTAATGTCAAATGTGTCCGGTACTTTTGTTGAAACCATCTGGCAACCCGGCCTGTGGCCTTGTTTTAAAGATGCTGCGTGATCACCAATGGGTATACTTCTGTGCTTGAACTCACCTGTTCATCTGGCCAATGCTGAGTCTGCCTTTTCACTCTGGGTGCAGAAAAAGAAGATATGAGCATTCAGGAAAAGCTGAGCCACTGACTTCTTGATTTTCTTTGGGTATCATTTTACCCTTCTATAAAACGAACATGGTAATACCCATCTCTCAGTGGGGCTAGCTCAGTTCCTCAAGTGTAAATTCACAAGTTTAATTCATATGCAAATAGCATGAATAGGGACATCAGCTGGCTCCCACACTACATTCCACATCCCAATAACTTAACCAACCAAACAATGGAGATGCTAATTATTCTTATCAGCCTCTTGTAACTATTTGAACCATCTACTCACTGTCTTTTTTTCCTCCTTCCCTCCTCCCGCCTTCCTTTATTTATTCTTGGATCTGGACTTCTAATACTCCTGTCATCTGAAGAAGTGGGTTGTGCCCACAAAAGATCATGATACCATCTACATGTTTTGCTAGTCTTTAAGTTGCTAGTGGACTATTTGTTGTTTTTTACGTTTTTCCTGTTACAGACTAACTTGGCTACCCCTTCTGAAGCTGGTGTGAATTGTTATAACTCCACAAAGTTAATAGAGCTATTCCAGTTTCTGTTTTCTGAGGAGCCAGTCCAATAATACTGAAGTGTTTTGAATTCTTTGGGTCATGAATGTTCTATAATTGCCAAATGTTGTCTAGTGGTTCCTTTCGTATTAGCCAGAGGCTAGGGTTCGATATTTCCCCTTAAAGTTCCATGCAAAGTTAAACATTTTAATTGACTCTCCCTTTTAAAAAGAAAACATGTTGTTTTCTCTCAAACAAAGGAAAAATCTCTCATCTTTTTATGGTGTTCTGTCTACTGATGCTATGATAATTGCTGTGTGAAGAAGTCTAAAGACATTCATGAACCAATACATCCTAACAATGCAGAATTTGTAGCCTTCATTTAATGTACATGGAGACACTTATCTAAATTTAAAGAACAATACATTACGGGGAGGTTTCCTGGAGTATTTAAAATCCTGGATAAGAACATATAGAACCCCGGGGGGAAGGGGGGGCGAGGGGTGACAGAATCTTCCATACAATAAAAAGAAAAGTCACATTTTAGTTTGCCATTTAGCTGTCAAAATAAGTCCTGCTGATTGTGCTACCAGTCAGCAGAATGCACATTTCATGCACACCATGCATGAAAAGCAGAATCCTTTAGAATATATCACAGACCTACCACACAGGCCCATTTCCTCAGGGAGCAGACAGAGCTCTATTTAACCATAGCTCAGTTAATGACTTCTGTCACTGAGCAAATCAATGAGGCCTCTACAATGGTTCATTTTATTTATTTTTTTCCCCTTGAACATGAGCGAACACAATTGTCTTATGCAACTAAACTAATTTTAATTATATTCTGCATGATTAAATGTAATATTCTTCGACTCTGATGTACAGTCTTAAAAACACAAATAGAACTTCATGACATGGCAAACAGCAGCATACTCATTTTCCTGCTGCCTTCACTAGGCTCCCAAAGGAAGTTATTTTCTTCACCCAGGCACTTAAGTCCCTTTAAATACAAGGTCCTTCCAGTCAGCAATGAACTTTTCATTTATTTCAGCAAGAAAACAGCTGATGGTAATAATAGCCCAGAGACAAATTATACTTGCCAAGGGGGAATTTCTTTCTCAGCAAGGGGAAAAAAAGTTGGATGGATACACTGCTACCTAAATAATGGATCTCAGGTTTTCAGACAAAAATTATGTGCTGCTCCAACTAGTTGAAACAGCATTAAAAAGTCTTAATCCTAAAGTACATTTTGGTTAGCGTATCAGAAGAGACAGAAAACAATAAAAAATTGCAACTATGTTGTATAGCAACTATGAATATCATAGCAGAAGGTTATGTGCCTCTAAATAATAACACACTCTTTTATTGTTTTGTCTAGATCTGTATTGTGGGAAAGCCTGTCTAACAAATCTGTGCTTTCCATAACTTGAATAATTCCTTTTGGCTCTGGGTTTTTTTTTTCATAAGCACTCAGAGTTGGTCTAATTTTACAGTCACTGGAGCTTTTGCCTTCTATGCTAGCAAAGTTTTGCTAATATTGATTTTTTCTGAAAATTCTACCCATTGTTTGCTTAACTTTGGAAGGTGACAGGCTTTGGTGTAAGACAGTATTCACAGACCATGGTGAAAAGTGCCCTAGACATGAAGAAAATCCATAGTTCTACCTTGCCCTCTATGTCCTGAATTAATCAAAAAAAAATTGTGTAGGTATCATCATAGTGTATCTCCCTACATTCTTACATGGACTCAGCTGCCTTGGAAGGAATTCTTGTCATCTAGGACCAGATCCTAAATCTATGTAAATTGTCACAGCTCAGTAATTTACATTGGCCAAGGATCTGGCCCTAGCTTCAGGAGGACTGAAAAATGGATCTGCCAGGACAGAGCCATGGCTGGGGGACTGCAGCTGGGGGGCGGGGAGAGAAAGGGCTGGGGCTGGGGCTGGTGCGGCTGTGGCTGCAGCCAGGGGCAGGAGAGAGAAAGGGCCAGGGCTGACGCAGGGGCTGCCATGGCCAGGGAGGACGGGGGAGAAAGGGCTGGGACTGGCAAGACCACAGCCCTCCCTGGTGGCTAGAGGGAGAGCTCGGGTTGCCTACCTCCAGAGAGAGGGGGTTGGCGAGCATAGTGAGCCCCCTAGTAACTCTTATTTAAAGATGATTCTCATTTAGACTTATGTGGCCAAATACCTTTGGGCATAATCTCACTGAAGTTAATAGATTTGTACCAGCAGGGAATCTAACTTAATTTTTCTGGTTCAGATGGTCTTGTTTTCAAGCCCTAACAGAAGCAGATTTCTCACTGTTGCTGCAACACTCGAATGCTTTTGAGTTTATGGCAAAGTTCAAACCCCGACAAAGCCCACTCTTTTATATAGACATGCTTTGAATTAAGCCAGAATTGTTTATTGTTCTAACTTAATTATAGAGTGTACCGGTTGCCCTGCTTTCCTATTTTATGCCATCAGCCACATCTTTCACGCAGGAAAGCTATCCAAGTTGGCTCTTGTACCACCTAGAGAACTTGGACTGTGGTTTATTTCTCATTCTGAGAATAAAACAAAGGACATCAGAAGCTAATTGTCCTCTAGCCTAGTTCCATTCAGTAATGTTCTGTCGATTATAGTTCTCCTGTGGCATTTCTCAGTGCTCCCTATGAGGCTCATATAATTTACTGTTTTCACTCAGAAAAACATACTATACAATAGTGGAGAATATAAAGCAAGCTGTGAAAAGCCAAGAAAAATTGCCAGTCACTACCAGCCAGCCAATAACTTGGCATAATAGGTGTCAATGCAGAGATGTTAAGTGAGTGTTCTAAAGATCCTTAGTAACTTAAGGTTTGGTGGTAGACTCTGTGAATCACCTTGCTGTGATGGCATCATCAGATTCTGTTTAATGGCAAGCCAATGGAGGTTTTATTTGGTGCATTTCCCTGGGTTTTGTGATAAAACAAATTTATAGCAAAGCTAATAGGTGTCTTCATAATGTACCATACTGCCATTATGGTAGCATTGTATTGGCTATTACACAGCTTGCTATCCCTGAATCTCAATACACATTAGCATGTTGCTTAGGTGGCCAACCGACAGAAACCCGAGCAGCAACTGCTGCTAGTGGGTGCCCCTGCAGCAAGCAATTCATCTTGTCAGCAAGATTAAGTGAAGTAGCTCCTTCCTGCTTGTGAACTTTAGCCTGCGAGTTCTCTGCTGTGAGGGTAGAAGGTTTGCTCTTCATAGCATGTTGAGAAAAGAACACTGCTACGATGGCCTCTTGCTGGAAGATTTTTAGACTCCTTACAAACATTTAACATTGACCCTGCTTAATAGGAAGCCATCTATTAACAACTCTGGTTCACTGCAACATTTTACCAGGAGCCAGTCGTGGCCCACTGACTTTAACTTAATGGGATTCAGATATTGGCAACAGCATGCTGCTTAGTCTGAACATTTATTTGCAAGGAAGGCCCCAGCTGCAGGCAGATTTTCTACACTTCTTCCCAGTCACTGTCTTACTTTTTCCATCCACATCTATCTTCAAGTTTTGCAACTTCCTTGGATTCTGGAATACAGGCAGTCCCCGGGTTACATGGATCCGACTTACATCGGATCCCTACTTAAAAACGGGGTGAGGCAACCCCGCACTAGCGCCCCCCCCCCAGCAGACCAGGGAGACGTGGAGCGGCTTTTCTCAGCAGACACCTCAGCTTGAGAATAAAGGACTGAGGGAAGTGAGGTGTGGGAGAATAAAACAGCTCTGGAGAAATGTTTGGCTAGAGTTTCCCCTACAATATGTACCAGTTCCGACTTACATACAAATTCAACTTAAGAACAAACCTACAGTCCCTATCTTGTACATAACTCGGGGACTGCCTGTATGTTCTGTTTCATTCTAGAGAAAGCTTCACATAAACAGTTTTTGTCAGATTTCTCCCCCTGTTGAGTGCTTCAGGAATAGGCATATGGGCTACGTCTACACTGGCCCCTTTTCCGGAAGGGGCTTGTTAATTTCAGCCATCGTAGTAGGGAAATGCGCGGGGGATTTAAATATCCCCCGCGGCATTTAACTAAAAATATCCGCCGCTTTTTTCCGGCTTTTAGAAAAGCCGGAAAAGAGCGTCTACAGTGGCCCCGATCCTCCGGAAAAAGCGCCCTTTTCCGGAGGATCTTATTCCTACTTCAGAATCGGGGCCACTGTAGACGCTCTTTTCCGGCTTTTCCGGCTTTTCTAAAAGCCGGAAAAAAGCGGCGGACATTTTTAGTTAAATGCCGCAGGGGATATTTAAATCCCCCGCGCATTTCCCTACTACGATGGCTGAAATTAACGTGCCCCTTCCGGAAAAGGGGCCAGTGTAGACGTAGCCCATGGTGTGTGTGTGTGTGGGGGGGGGGGGGAGAAACATTGGTCCATGCTAATTGTTCCATATACTGCTGTGAAATTTTCCTATGGAGTTTTTTCATGTAGCAATTAATTTCATTCTTGCATGAATT